GCGCTCCCTTGGCGCTCCCTCGGCGCTCCCTTGGCGCTCCCTTGGTGCTCCCTCGGCGCTCCCTTGGCGCTCCCTTGGTGCTCCCTCGGCGCTCCCTTGGCGCTCCCTCGGCGCTCCCTTGGCGCTCCCTCGACGCTCCCTTGGCGCTCCCTTGGTGCTCCCTCGACGCTCCCTTGGCGCTCCCTTGGTGCTCCCTTGGCGCTCCCTTGGCGCTCCCTTGGTGCTCCCTCGACGCTCCCTTGGCGCTCCCTTGGTGCTCCCTTGGCGCTCCCTTGGCGCTCCCTTGGTGCTCCCTTGGCGCTCCCTCGGCGCTCCCTTGGCGCTCCCTCGACGCTCTCTTGGCGCTCCCTTGGTGCTCCCTCGACGCTCCCTTGGCGCTCCCTTGGCGCTCCCTTGGCGCTCCCTCGACGCTCTCTTGGCGCTCCCTCGGCGCTCCCTTGGCGCTCCCTCGGCGCTCCCTTGGCGCTCCCTCGTCGCTCCCTTGGCGCTCCCGGGATGCTGAGGGGGCCGACGGAGCTGGGGGGGGGGGCGATGGAGCTGGGGGGGGCGACGGAGCCGGGGGGGGCGATGGAGCTGGGGGGGGGCGACGGAGCTGGGGGGGGGAGCGACGGCGCTTACTCACTCACACATCATGCACTCACACAACCACTGACCCATTCACTCATCATACACAGGTTCACTCATCGTGTGCTGGCTCACTCGCACATCATACACTCACTCACACTGCCGCTGACTCGCACATCATACGCTGACTCGCACATCATACACTTACACTGCTGCTGACTCACTCACACATCATACGCTGACTCACTCATCATACACTGACTCGCACATCATACGCTGACTCGCACATTAAGCACTCACTCAAGCTACTACTGACTCACTCATCATGCGCTGACTAACACATCATACGCTGACTCACTCATCATACGCTGACTGGCACATCATACACTCACTCACACTGCCGCTGACTCACTCACACATCATACACTCACTCAAGCTACTACTGACTCACTCATCATGCACTAACACATCGTGCACTGACTGACACATCATACACTCACTCACACTGTCGCTGACTCACTCACACATCATACACTGACTCACTCATCATACACTGACTCACTCATCATACGCTGACTCACATCATACACTCACGCTGCTGCTGACTCACTCACACATCATACACTGGGAGTGTCGTGCTGCCAGCTATGGCTGCAGGTTTTGTCGTACGTGTTATGTATATCGTTTATTGTTAAATTAAAAAAATTACACTTCCTATGATTACTGTTGTTACATTGTTTTTATAGCTTTATTTTGGTGATTCGAAAACATATGGTTAATCTAAATTGTCTCATGGTTGTTGTTGTTGGCTTGCACCACATTGATTTTTGCACACAGCGTTTTAATACGTTTTTTTTGCGTGTGGAATATTTGCTGGTTCATTCCAGGATGTTTCTGTTACGCGTTGTCGCTTTAAGATGTTCTGTGTTCAAATTTTGTTTGCTGTGGTTGCACCCGACTTAAGGGCCGCATGGCTCACAGGGTTATACCTAATAAATGAAACTTGAAACTTGAAATATTTTTAAAAATACCTTGCTACCTCCCTCGAAAAAAAAGAATTACAATTTGCTAAGTAATTTGATCCTTTAAATGTTAATGTGTGATTCCCCTCCATGCGGGGCTTGCAAGTCTAGACTCGGTGAAACATTAAGGGCCCGTTGTAATCAATGGATGCATATGAATTGTATTAGGCGAGTGAAAGCAAAGTGGGGCGATTCTCAGCCAGGGCCATTCGCGTCCGCGTGTCAAAGAGACGCTGGCGAGATGTTAGCTACCTCGCCTGGTATACAGGAGCGCGTGGGTTGGATCCCGACCCTGACGACGCCTTCGTGCTAGCTACCTCGCCTGGTATACAGGAGCGCGTGGGTTGGGTTGGAGTTTGCGTGTCTCTCTCCCCGTGGTCGCGTCGATCTTTCTCTGGGTCCTCCCGGTTTTTTCCCCCATCCTCCACGTTGAGAAGCACGCGTTTAGAGTGATTTGTCTGCCAGAAATGTCGACACAACGACGAGCCACTTCGTCAAGCTATCGCTTTCGGTCAGGTCGTTTCTGAAAAAGGGCTACACAGCTCAATGGGGCCCTTGCCTGGTCAAATAAAAATTGTTTAGAATAAAAAAAAATAGTTTTAGTTTTTTTTAAAGATGCGTGGTATATATATGCGCAATATATACTGAGCGGTGGGGCAGTGGTTAGCGCACTGTGTGCTATGGACCCGGCCCTTCCCCAGTTCGATTCCCTCCCAGGGCGAACATCAGCGACAAATATCCGAACCGGTCCTGAGCCTCCCCCCCCCCCTCCCCGAAGGTCTACTCGGCCTTGAATGAGTACCGTGCCTGGCACAGTGTGTAAAACGTCAGGATCGGGGAAGACAAAGGCGGCCGGGTGTTGCTCTAGCCCACAACACCATCCTCTCGGGGGCCTTCGCAGATGCTCGCTTTCAAGAGTACTTCGCCTCGACAAAAGTATGCTAAGGCTATCAAGGAGGGGGGGGGGGGATCTGTGTGTCTGTATGTGTGTGTGTGTGGGTGCGCGTACGATGTTATTGCTACTTGATGCGAGGATAGGGGCTGAGAGTGTTTTTTTTTTTCCCCTACTCCAGTCTTGGCTCACAGTTTCTGCCAAAAATATTTGAGCATTGCGAGCGAAGTCACGAAACACAGACTAGTCGAAAATGCTTGCACGCGTATGGCAACATGCAACAGACAAAGATACCCCGTGTAGCCTTCACAGACTGTAGGGGCAAGCGCTGTTAGCGAGCACCACCTATGAAAGGCCGGCACGGCGCGCGAGGGGGGTTGGGTGGCCAGCACCCACGCCCGGCCGCCTTTGTCTCCCCAGTGGCGATGTTTACTGCCACACCGCACCAGGTACTCTTTAGAGGCTGAGATGTGTGTATGTTGAAATCATTTTAGCGCATGGAGCAACACGCATGCAAGCTACGTGCACCCAAAGAAAAATGACGTTCACAAATACAGAAACGTACATGCAGACATACACATACACAGGGAAACGGAGGAACCGATATTATATACACACACACATACAGGAGGACATGCAGTTACACGCACACACGTAGCAAATGAGACACATGTAGAAACATACATACACACACAGAAACATTGACATAGGAATAGATATATACATACATAGAAATAAAGACAAAGATTCCCCGGAAAGGCTTGAACACACTGTTGGGGCAAGTGCTGTTAGCGAGCACCTACGAAGGCCGGCATGGCCCACGAGGGGGTGGGTGGCCAGCACCAACGCCCGACCGCCTTTGTCTCCCTAGTGGCGATTTGAAAACATCGCACCAGGTACTCATTTGAGGCTGAGTCGACCTAGCGGGCAGAGGACAGGTTCAGATAATCGTCACTGGGTGTTGGCCGTGAGCTGGATTCGAACTCGGGTCGCCGGGTTCGCTACACATGAACACCCACGCACTACAATACACACGTACCGTATTCTCTGGATTATAAGACGCACCCCCGCCCCCCCCCCCCCCCCCCCATCGTATTTCCAAGCAAAAGTTAAAAGGTGCGTCTTATAATCCGGTAGGTAGATGGCTGCGTGTGTGTGATTGCATTTTAGCAGTCAGTCAATAGTTTGCACAGTAGGGGATACAGCTGGTGGTGCATCTACCGGTCATCTCAGTCAGCCAACCCATGGCGCCTGCTGGGTCTGTCCAGAGACCTCCTCCTGTCAGCGGCGAGCCTCCGGCACTTCACGTGGCCTCAAAGTGCACCTAGCCTGGCACAGTAGGGGATACAGCTGGTGGTGCATCTACCGGTCATCTCAGTCAGCTAACCCATGGCGCCTGCTGGGTCTGTCCAGAGACCTCCTCCTGTCAGCGGCGAGCCTCCGGCACTTCACGTGGCCTCAAAGTGCACCTAGCCTGGCACAGTAGGGGATACAGCTGGTGGTGCATCTACCGGTCATCTCAGTCAGCCATCCCATAGCGCCTGCTGGGTCTGTCCAAAGACCTCCTCCTGTCAGCGGCGAGCCTTCGACACTTCACGTGGCGGCCTCAAAGTGCACCTAGCCTGGCACAGTAGGGGATACAGCTGGTGGTGCATCTACCGGTCATCTCAGTCAGCCATCCCATGGCGCCTGCTGGGTCTGCCCAAAGACCTCCTCCTGTCAGCGGCGAGCCTTCGACACTTCACGTGGCGGCCTCAAAGTGCACCTAGCCTGGCACAGGCACCGTGGGGACGTCACCGCCACTTCGTGATGAATGGCCCCGGGGTGGTGATTGACCAGAGAGAGAGAGAGATTCGTGTAAACTTTACTGACCACCGGAGTTTCACGGTTTGGGAGTTTGCTGCGTCTTTCCTATTTTCCTGCACCTCTTTCTAATCCGGGGGAAATGTGGCAATGCGCACGCCATCGCAACACGCCATCCCTGCATTCCCAGAAGCGCGTTCGGGGATTTTCAAAGCAGACCACTCTTACGCAGCAGTTAAAACAAAATTTAAACAACAAAAAAATTACATTCATCATCATCATCAGCAGCAGCATCGCAGTGACCAGCGATTGTTGTGAGCTTTCTAAAGCAGGAACTTTATCAATATAAATGCATGAATTCATACGGTTAGTTTTGTACTTACAGTGAGGGAAAAAAGTATTTGATCCCCTGCTGATTTTGTACGTTTGCCCACTGACAAAGAAATGATCAGTCTATAATTTTAATGGTAGGTTCATTTGAACAGTGAGAGACAGAATAACAACAAAAATCTGGCTCCCAGGTGTCTTTTATACAGGTAACGAGCTGAGATTAGGAGCACACTCTCAAAGGGAGTGCTCCTAAGCTCAGCTTGTTACCTGTATAAAAGACACCTGTCCACAGAAGCAATCAATCAGATTCCAAACTCTTCACCATGGCCAATACCAAAGAGCTCTCCAAGAATGTCAGGGACAAGATAGTAGACCTACACAAGGCTGGAATGGGCTACAAGACCATGGCCAAGCAGCTGGGTGAAAAGGTGACAACAGTTGGTGCGATTATTCGCAAATGGAAAAAACACAAAAGAACTGTCAATCTCCCTCGGCCTGGGGCTCCATGCAAGATCTCACCTCATGGAGTTGCAATGATCATGAGAACGGTGAGGAATCAACCCAGAACTACACTGGAGGATCTTGTCAATGATCTCAAGGCAGCTGGGACCATAGTCACCAGGAAAACAAATGGTAACACACTACGCCGTGAAGGACTGAAATCCTGCAGCGCCCGCAAGGTCCCCCTGCTCAAGAAAGCACATATACATGCCCGTCTGAAGTTTTCCAATGAACATCTGAATGATTCAGAGGACAACTGGTTGAAAATGTTGTGGTCAGATGAGACCAAAATAGACCTCTTTGGCATCAACTCAACTCGCCGTGTTTGGAGGAGGAGGAATGCTGCCTATGACCCCAAGAACACCATCCCCACCGTCAAACATGGAGGTGGAAACATTATGCTTTGGGGGTGTTTTTCTGCTAAGGGGACAGGACAACTTCACTGCATCAAAGGGACGATGGATGGGGCCATGTACCATCAAATCTTGGGTGAGAACCTCCTTCCCTCAGCCAGGGCATTGAAAATGGGTCGTGGATGGGTATTCCAGTATGACAATGACCCAAAACACACGGCCAAGGTAACAAAGGAGTGGCTCAAGAAGAAGCACATTAAGGTCCTGGAGTGGCCTAGCCAGTCTCCAGACCTTAATCCCATAGAAAATCTGTGGAGGGAGCTGAAGGTTCGAGTTGCCAAACGTCAGCCTCTAAACCTTAATGACTTGGAGAAAATCTGCAAAGAGGAGTGGGACAAAATCCCTCCTGAGATGTGTGCAAACCTGGTGGCCAACTACAAGAAACGTCTGACCTCTGTGATTGCCAACAAGGGTTTTGCCACAAAGTACTAAGTCATGTTTTGCAGAGGGGTGAAATATTTATTTCCCTCATTAAAATGCAAATCAATTTATAACATTTTTGACATGCGTTTTTCTGGATTTTGTTGTTGTTATTCTGTCTCTCACTGTTCGAATAAACCTAGCATTAAAATTATAGACTGATCATTTCTTTGTCAGTGGGCAAACGTACAAAATCAGCAGGGGATCAAATACTTTTTTTCCCTCACTGTAACAGCCAGACCGTTGAGCAGGCGCTTCCAACAATTGCCCAAGCTCTGCGAGTCCTCTACGTATTTAAGATGTTTTCAGCCGATGCATTTTACATGGTGCCCACGTGTCCGACTTGGGGAGCTGTGTGGCAAGGGTGCATGGTTGGTGTGTGTAAGGATAAATAGTCATCATCAGCATTATCAGCAGCAGCACAGTCACCCGTGTATCATCGCATGATAATCATCATTTAATCGTGTGTGTGTGTGTGTTGGATCAACCGGAGTGTGTATGTGGGGAGCAGTTGCACTACGAACACGACTACCCGAGTTCGATTCGCGCTCACGGCCAACACCAGTGACGATTATCTGAAACGGTTCTGGGCGTCCCCTAGGTCGACTCAGCCTCAAATGAGTCACCTGGTGCGGTGTGTAAACATAGCCACTATGGGGAGACAAAGGCGGCCGGGCGTGGTGTTGGCCACCCACCCCCCTCGCGTGCAGTTTGCCGGCCTTCATAGGCGGTGCTCGCTAACGGCACTTACCCCAACAGTCTGTTCAGGCTATAGGGGGGCATCTTAGTTTACGTGAAGTTCAACGTACACGTGCATGTGTGTGTGGCTATGTCAATGTGTATGAGACCACGTGGACTATACGGGGGATTTGTCTTTATGTATGGGAGGTCGAATCAGCCTCAAGTGAGTACCTGGTGGGATGGGGGGGGGGGGGGTGTAAACATCAGCGCTGGGAAGACAAAAGCGGCCGGGCGTGGTGTTGGCCACCCACCCTCTTGTGGCCTTAATAGCTGCTCGCAAACAGCACTTGCCCCCAACAGTCTGTTTAGGCTATACCGGGGGGATCATCTATGTGAGCGTTGTGTTCAAGGTTCTCCCGCTCAGGACAAATAACAGTGGCGGATCTGTTTTGTTACCGATCCCTGTTGGCCTAACTCTAAGTCCATTCAGCCTCAAATTCAGTTCCCCGTGCCAGCGTGCGTGCGTTGTACGTGCGCGCGTGTGTCCTATAAGACCACACGTACTGCCGCGAATTTTAAATATATATATTCACCCCCCACCCCACCCCCCTCGCTCTGTGAACACATTTCCAGAACGCAATGTTCCATCAAATCGTGTCGGGAGCCGGGGAACACCACCCACCCCAACCCCCCAAAGTAAACAAACTATACCCGCGACAATTTCCCCGCGTGAACGGTGGCAATTTTCACGGCTCTCGCGCTCCTCCGGCGTCTCTTCCCCTCCGCACGCCGTCCCTCGCCCGCCGGGTTTCCCCCCCCCCCCGCCCCCCCTTCTCAACACGTGGGACGCACCATTAAGCAAGACGTGGAGGGCAGAGGGAGGAGGTGGGTGGTGGGGGTGGTGGTGGTGGTGGTGGAACTTTGTGATCGCGTACCGTTTTGCCTACGCGCGCATTACGCCGGTAGACGAAGATCCCTCCGGAACCGGCGGACGTGAACGGACTGCCCCGCGGGATGCTTGCGAATGCTGTGAGCGGGTATTAATTAGTGGCCCTGGAAAGGGTCGCAACTCGCTCGCACGTCAAAAGGCGCTTTGCCGCAAGTGGACCGCGACGATGCCTCGCCGATCTCGTCAACGGGAGCCGTGATGAACAGCCGTCTGCGCGATCTCCGCCCATTCATCGCACCGCGCGGCGCTCTCGCGATGCCGCCGCTTCCGCGGCCGTCCGGAACGTGCTCGTGCCCTTCTGGTGTTAGGAAGGATACAGGGAGCGATGCAACTTTTAGATTCCCATCTTCGTGAGAACTGCCTCTTGTTGTTGTTGTTGTTGTTATTGTTGTTGTTATTGTTGTTGTTTTGTGTTTCGTTTGTTGTTGTTGTTATTGTTGTTGTTGTTTTGTGTTTAGTTTGTTGTCCCTCCTCCGGCACCTGCGATCAGCGCGGTTGGCTACGTCGGGTGCGGAAAACAATTCAACGTGCATACATACACAATGACATGGATAAATAAAGAAAGGCGAAAAGACAACAAAAGACCAAAACTCCCTCGCACTCGCGGAAACACCCCGTGGCAATCTAACAACACATTTTTTTTTTTAAACAAACACAAATTTTAAGGCCGGCATGGCACACAAGGGACGGGTAGTCATGCAGAAATCGCGCCCGGCCGCCTTTGTCTCCCCACCAGTTCTGATGTTTACACACTGCACAAGGTTCTCATTTCAGACCGATTCGACCTACGGGAGGCACAGGACCGGTTCAGATATTCGTCACCGATGTTCGCCGTGAACGCGAATCGGACTCGGGTCGCTGGGTCCGTAGCGCGTTGCGATAACCACTGACAATACCACTCCCGACAAACACACACACAGGTGCATGTTGAAACTGGCCATGTGTTAATAAAGTATTAAAGCTTTCGTGACTGCATAAAAATTACTCATTGGTTTTTTTCGGTAAAGTCACGTATGTAGAAATACAATAAAATTATATTAAAACAACAAAAACAATCACGACGTTTCGATCACAACGCAAGCGATCTTCATCAGGTGTCAAGAACAAATCACGGGAGGTAAATACAACAAAAAGATGAGAGACGAGAATTCAACAAACCTGAAGAAACATTATGTGAAGCACATCCAGTCAGGCCAACAACACAGTTAGACACTTCCTGGCGGACCACGAATTTCAAAAGAGTGTTAAATTTCGTGTTCAACCTTTGGATTGCACATACCAGCATAGATAGAATGAAAAATACGAGGTACACGGTCGGTAGAAATACATATACAAGTCCACTAAGAGGTAAGGAGGGAGGCTGAACAAAGGCTAAGGCGCGTGGGTTAGCATCTAGAAGCATCCAGCAGCATCCCAACGCCTCGTGCGATGCTACGCCGATGGCAGCCAACACCACCGCGTGTTCCTACCCGCGCCGCGGCGCAGTTCCGTTCGCTCGATCGCGTTGCATCCAATTGGCATCCGCGATGTACACGAAGACTAGAAAAAGGGGTTCCCCTCAAACATTCAATTCGCGTTGTAGGAGAACAGGCCGGTTTAACACGTAGGCTTTCGCGACCAATGTTATTCATAATGAAGGTTTTTTTTTTCCGGGATGCTTCTCTTTAAGACGGGAAGTAGGTGGATTGCTTCGCTATTCTGGTAAAATCGCCCGATGACGCTGATTGATGCAATTGCCGGAGAAACGTCGCACCACTCAAATTGTAAATGTTGTGGATTTACTCTCCAACACACCGGTTGGGCTGAAGTAGCATACTACACTTTGCACTACACTAGATACTACACAATACACTACACTACTATATACTACACTATATACTACAATATTTTGCACTACACAACTATACACTACACCATACACTTAACTAGCAACCAAATTGGCGTTTTGGTTTACGTGGCGAATCGCGTACTAATTGGCCGTGTCGGTGGTGGAGAGTCACGTCGCATTTAGGCTTAGGCGACCTAACCCAGAGACATTCGTTACGAGGAGAACAGGCCGGTTTGAATCGCTGGCTCCACTATCCATTGCACCGACAGCACGAGGTTGCAGGACATCACCCTCGGACTCCGCCCGCGTCCTGCCACGGCTACCACCAACCACGTCGCGTCAGAGCTCGCAACGGCCCCAATCGTTCCCTCGCCACCACGGGCACCGCCCGATATCCTTCGCCTGTGTCCGTCGAACCTCTCCGCGCACCCTACGGAATAGCCGACCGTGCTCATCGGAGGTACCGCGGGAAAAGGGACCACAATCTTAACCCCGTGCAGGGCTACGCGGGGTGGCCTAGAGGTTCAGAGCTTGCCATTGCAAATTGGTCGCGAGTTCAAATCCATCATCATCATCATCGTAATCGTCGTCGTCGTCGCCGTCACCACCATCTGGGTCGATACAATTCAGTACCACTTTGTAGAAGGTCAACAGCGTTCGTCCCCATGGACATAGCTGCCCCGCCGCTGTCCACGCATCGTAATCAGTCGCTGTCTATCCACTGCATGGGATGAAAGCATCATCCCGCACCTTAACCCGGGGTCCCACGTGGATACACTCCGGGGCCAAGCAAAGAATGAACCGCGCTAATCGGAGGTGCGGGGGAAGGACGCTGCTATGAATTTCAGGGACGGACGGACGGACGGAGGGAGGGATGGGTGGGTTACGCAGCAGTCGTTCACGTGACGGAAGTCGGTTTCGGCGTCGCCGAGTCTCGCCTCGGCAAACTGCGACTCCGCCCTCGCTCGATCTTCGTCGAGTAACCTGCGGGGAATTCTCTCGGCGACTGCCAAACCATTGCACTCGCCCGCGCCGTCCAGAGCCCTCATCGTCCTCCGTAAGATTCCCACACCTCCCCCGGCAGCTGGTTTCAACCAGCCTGCCAGCGGGGGGACAGCTACAGGATCTCACAATCAGAATCTTATATTCTTAGCGCTTTCGGTAAAGTCACGTTGAAGGGGAAACAATAAAATATATATAAAATATATATAAAACAATAAAAAAAATTCTCACGACGTTTCGACCATAACACAAACGGTCGTCATCACCTGATCATCACCTGACATCAAAATGCGCAACTTTAAATAAATATAGACAACACGTTCTACTTAATAATAGGACAATGCATATATTATCATAGTATGTTTTTTTATATTCTTAGCTCTTTCGGTAAAGTCACGTTGAAGGGAAACAACAAAATAATGAAATATATATAAAACAATAAAACAATTCTCACGACGTTTCGACCATAACACAAACGGTCGTCATCACCTGATCATCACCTGATGATGACCGTTTGTGTTATGGTCGAAACGTCGTGAGAATTTTTGCATTGTCTTATATATATATTATTATTATTCTTTTATTGTTTCCCTTCAACGTGACTTTACCGAAAGAGCTAAGAATATGAATTACTGCAGTCACGAAAGCTTTAAATCAAAATCATAATCTTCAGTTGTGCTGGAGGAATCCGATGAGCTCTGATGATCTTTCCCCCCCCTCGAGATCCCCCCCCCCCCAACTTGTGGTTGTCTGCAACGGGTCATCGCTCAGGTCTCCCCGCTAAACACTGCGCGGCTCACAGTGGGAACTCACCGCAGCGGCGGCAGCGCCACACAACGACCTGCTCCCTCATCCCGACACCAAGGATGAGGACCGTGGCCACTTGCCGGGCGCCGCCGTCTGGAACGCGGCCATCATCCCGCTGCACATTCGCAGCAGCGGCGGCATTCAATCTTCACCGACTTTTAAGGTTGCACTTAAAGGCGCCCGCGACCGGTCCTTTCGGAGTGACACTGAGCTTCACTCAGAGTCGCCGTTATTTGTTGTGCCCCTGCACTATTGGCGCACGTTATAAAATCACACCATGGTTTTTTGTTGTTGTTGTTGTTGTTGTTATTGTTGATGAATATGACAACGATGATTATGTCGTCACAATCATCATCGCTGGGATTGCAGGCCTTCCCCACACCGTCACCATCATTTTCCATTCGTCGGAATGGGCCGGCGGTCGGTCCCATCCTCGCCTCCTCCCCCCCCACCACCACCCTCCCGTTCATTATTTCATCAAAATTCAGCGTCACATTTCCACCTGTAGCTCCAATGTCACTCACTTCTCCTCCGGAGCAAAACTCTCAAGGTTTTCCCGCTCGCTCCGATGCTATCGCCGAGCCTCTTGCTGCCAATAACCTGTCACCCGCATGTCAGCTTTATGAAATTATTCCACAAGCATTTGCTATTTTTTTTTGTATTTCTTTCCCGCCCCAACTCCTGTCTGTTGCTCGAGCCTAGCACACGCGTACACAATGCAAAGGTCACCCGCATAGCCTGTAACAGACTGTTGGGGCAAGTGCTGTTAGCGAGCACCCATTAAGTCTGCCACATTGACGCGACAATGAGCGGTGGGGTTGGCCAGCAAACCCACGCCCGGCCGCCTTTGTCTTCCAAGCGCCGATGTTTCACTACACACACACACCGCAACAGATGTTCGCATCAAGATTGAGCCCACTTACGGGGAGGCTCAGGAGCAGCGGTTCAAATATTTGCCCACGTTTTATTGGTCGTGAGCGGGAATTGAACTCGCGTTGCCGGATTTGTAGCGCAGCGAGGCTCACCACTGCACCAACCCGCTCACCGTATCCACAGACATTCACATAATCTCACACATTCGCATACAAATAAACACAGTCTCACACACAACACAGCGACAACGATCACCAGTATAGTCTTAATAGACTGTTGGAGCATGTGCTGTTAGCGAGGAGCTATGAAGGCCGGAATGGCACACGGGGGGGGGGGGTTGGTTAGTGGCCAACACCACGCCCGGCCGCCTTTGTCTCCCCAGTGGCGATGTTTTACACACCACACCAGGTGCTCGTTTTGTTTTTACGTAGAAAACAAATCTGATTGCTGTTCCGTTGGTGACCTGAGTACAGGAAGATCACGAGAAGACTGATTTCAGATGCTCTTCTGCGGCCGTCTGGAATGTTCTTCCTTCCGATATTAGGAAGCCACGATCCACTTTTGAATAAT